TCGCAAAGTCTATCATTTTTCAAATATCTCATAATTATAATATGAAGTACATTGACTTGTAAGCTTTATCATGTGTTTCATGGCCGACCGCTTATAAATGAATTATGTGAATGACGAGCGTGATCAGATATTAATAATTTTGAACATTCATCTTGATTTGAAGTATTAAGATAACTTTACGATAACTTGAAGATAACTTTAAGATAAAAACGAATTATTAAAGATTACTGTAAACTGATAAGCAAGTAAGTATGTGCTAGTAGATTAAAATTTTTGGCTCTTCTTTCCTTCTTTGTCAGGTTATGTCGACGAAAATATTGTAGATTAAGTTAAACGCACTTGAACGCATTTATTGATGAAAAAATTATAGGCTTCAGGAATTTTTACATATTCATCCAAAAAGTACAGAATTAACATTCTTTACATTATTTTATACTAGCCTGTCAGTGATTGAGACATTATCTGTCATTAATTAATATGCAAGAATACGATAATGTCTCAATCACTGACAGGCTAGTATAAAATAATGTAAAGAATGTTAATTCTGTACTTTTTGGATGAATATGTAAAAATTCCTGAAGCCTATAATTTTTTCATCAATAAATGCGTTCAAGTGCGTTTAACTTAATCTACAATATTTTCGTCGACATAACCTGACAAAGAAGGAAAGAAGAGCCAAAAATCAGGACAATCGTTATTCTTTTGTATTAATTATTGACATATTTTGTTTACGTTTCGAGAATGTTCAAAAATACTAATACCAACTTATGAATATCAAATACAATCTAATAGATTAATTAGAGTAAGAACAGTCACACTTATTTCATTTATAAAAAAACTAAATAAGCAATAATGGAACCGTTGTCACTATTTGTGACAAATATATCACATAGTACCAGTCAATGACAGGGAACGTATGTATATACAAAACCGTATCACAGCCAGTGACACGGTTTTTGACGTGTTATTAATTGGGACAGCCTAAAACTGAAAGTGTCATTAACTGAGACATATACATTGATTTCAATTTTCCAATTAAATTACTAAAAAAGTACGTTTGTATGTCGAAAATATATGACTATAGCACAAATAAAAGTTCTATTTTTCAATTACAAATGACAGATTTTTCATTGAAAATGACATGGTCATTTAACTACGTGTTCACTTTTATGAAAGGTTAAGTTTGTCATTAACTGGGACATTTACCTTATATATCGTTTCTTATTTCTCAAACCAATTATTAATATGTCATCTGATGTCACTTTGTGAGTATTTGGGAGTATTTTAAATCTTGTTGTTATAAAAATACATGATGTTGCTATCTTTAGTAAAGGAGAAAAAAGATAATAAAGAATTCACTTTTATATTATATATTCATATTTATATATTTTTATATTTATATTTTTATATTATATATTCATATTTTTATATTCATATTTATATGTGTATTTTAAATACTCAAAATAAGAAATATATGTAAAGTTTTATTATGTAGTTCAGAGTTTAAAAGTGAAAGTTGAAAAGTCATAAATAAACTTTAAAAATGTGATGTTAAAGAAAAAATATGTTGTCATTCAACTATGTGTACACTATACGTTTTCACATAGAAAGCAGAAATATTAATATATTTTTAATTTAGAGTTTTTTGTAGGGACTATACAGGCAATAGATCGTTAAGAGATAATCACGAACTATGACTGCAATTTTTAATGATTATCTTTCGATGTGATGCATGACACCGTTGCCATAGATTCGTCGTGGATTTCAGCTTGAAAACCTAGTGACTTTATATAGCCGACACAGAATTGTATCTCGTATCCAGGTGTGTGCAATATATAACATGACGCCACGTCACGATGGCTGAAATCATGCTTTATTCAGTATCGCTATTTTGTTGCCCAGCTGTAGCTTTTTCTTCCTGTTTTATATGTGCACACATGCACTGCAAACAAGCATTGTGCACATGAGCACTGCACGCGTTGAGAAAAGGCTAAAACGTTGCAGGAAACGTCTATCGTATATCTGGAATTTCCCTACGCCCCAAGCGCATCCAATCCCGAGCCACGGCTACAGTGTTTTCAAATACATCTCTGTTATCTATAGGTAGTTTGTGCATCTCTGTTATTTGTCTATTATCTTGAAAATTGCAATTTGCTTTTCCTCCCTCTTTTACATCCAGTGTTGTGTTTTCCAAATGCTGCTTCAATAAACGAAAACTAAGATTGGTGTTTCATCTCTTCGTTCTATAACGTTATATAATCTGTATATTTCTTTGTTATATAAAGTTATCTTTGATAGTATTGACAGCACATGTTTCGTAAATAGTTTTAAATGACATTTGATAACTGAAATATATAATGAATGCACAACTTGTGTTGATATGCGATGTTTTCTTTAAAGGCATTTAGAGTTTATTGATATCCGACTAAGAAAACAAAGGAAAGGATAGTTTTGACCGTTGGAATATTAAAAAACAGGGTAAATACGATACGCAATTAGGGTAAAGGAGATTTAAGTTAGACTAGAGCCGAAGGAAAGACATGAGCGCGAAATATAATAAGTATCACCGCTCGAATAAACTTATACGGCTCAATTAATGGAATGGTTGACATTAACATGTGAATTATTTATCTTTCTTCCGAGGAATGCAATCATCTATCGTGATTTATTTTATATTCTCCTCGCTGTTTGTCGCCATTACTTTCCTTTGCGTCGCTCACATAATTAAAGATCCATTGATGGCGCAACTTTATTGGCGTAATTTGATAAAATAAAAAGTAAGAAGGAAACACAACTTTCGAGGTAACTGAATATAATAACTAATTTTTTTATCTCACTCTTTTTCCGTGATTTTCGACTATGGTAAAGTTGGAATTAAATCCTATCTGACTTAAACGTCGTGAATCTCTCTATCCAAATGTTCGACAAAGTATCTCTCCCGGATAACTTGAAGCGTTCGCGTTACCGGAATTCTTTAGCAAATTTCAAATAACCGACGAAATATCGAACCGTCTGCAAGTTTCAAATTATTGTCTCGCACATGCGGCTTATAATAAACTCGATTTCACAAAGTAACGATCGAAATACCGCAAATTCTGGTCACGTCCCTATTAGGATGTTATCATAATAATGAGCAATATGCACACGCAAATGTCACGCTTGATTAATTGTATCGCGCGCTCGCTCGGAAATTATATTGGCGCGGGAGAACAGTGGACGATATTTATAATTAATTATTACCAAAGTCTGACGTTAGGTGACTTCTAATTATTACATTCCATATCCCTACATTACTACATTCCACGGTTGCTTAAGGAATAAGGAAGCACTGTGGCAAATTATTTTCTGACTACAGATATACACATACTCACATTCGCACAAACAAGCGTCGTGATTATACAATGTACACTGACAAAAATTTAGGTAAAAAGAACTCAGAGTTACGTAAATTTTTCGTGCACAATTTAGTTAAATTGAATAAATATTGAATCAGATCAACGATCGACAATCAAACGAGTCGATAATCTAACGTAAGAATTTTAATTATGAAATATAATCGGTAGTGTTAGATTAACTCTTTAGGAACCACTTTATATATAATGGTTGGGACACATGTGTCCCAGTGATCCCCAAAGGGTTAAGGAAGTTGACATATAGTTGTATGTTGGTTGACATATGTTGTATGTAGATCGCAAAACGGTTTGCACACCTTTCATTGAAAGAAAAGTTATTATTATTACTATTATTATTATTTTTATTGAGTATACAGAAACAACAACAATAGCAAATTACTGTTTTAGATGTAATACTCAAAAGGTGGGACGGCAACTGAAATGCTATTCTTAGACTCGACATATGCAAAATAAGATAACATGAACATAAATAAAATAAATTAAAAATAATGTAAAATTGCGTGTGTGCATATTAAAGTCCGAAAAGTAAACCTCAAATTGTAGTGTAATGCAATGCCTGTTGTCACAATTGAGAACCACTACTGATATGCATTCAATACGTTGTTGTTTTATTTTACCTTATAAAATACATAAAAATTACTTCAAAATAATAGTCTCTTACTTGAAATTTTTTCTAAATTTATTGTCACACTCTGTACTGTCATTTTGTCTCCTGTCATAACCGGTTACGTATGTAAATCAGTATACACATGACAGTATGACCTGAAGCGCTGCAACTTCCTATAAAAGGTGTTGCAAACCGTTTTGCAACTGAGGATATATATCGACTGATTTTGGAGTTACTGCTAACACGTTCGCTATTAACGTCATATATATGTGACGATCTCTCACGAGAGACCATCGTCATATACGTGTGACAATAAAAGTTTTTGTTTCTATGTCCACATTATCAAATTAAGTTTGTTTTACACAATTACGTAAAAAGAAAAAAAATATGAGGTGGTTGTGAGAAAAGTTCTTCAAACCGTAATAATGAACGTGCTAAGTGCAAAAAGGCAAATGTTGTATTAATATAGATTTCATTCGCAACGCGAATATCTAAATATAGGAATCCCAATATTAGCATTATAATAAATTTCAATTATAACCTACGAGAGCCGCATGTTCGTTTATGTATGTTATATATACAATATAAATGTTCTTTCAATCGCTAAAATTTTGGTCTAATTGCATAATACGAGTAATTCTATCTCTGATTAAGTAAATTAAACGTTAAGTGCAATCAATAATGTATAAGATAGGTTTCATGATCTGATATTTGAAGTGTGGAGAAATGGTTGATTTGGGGTTGGTGCCGCGTTCTTCGTTGATTCCCGGAATCAACCTTCGGAATCCCTTCGTTCCCGGAACCCGAAAGCCAAATTGAGTTTTATGATCGTTTCGTTGAGTTCAATTTTGAGCTTGCTTTACACAAACGAGAGATTACAAGAATGTGGAAATGAAGATAGTTACTTCGCCATACGCAACTCTAAGACTGAATTCGCTCAAATCAATTCTAGTACGACTGATCTCTTATAATACACATACCTTCTCATGTAATGGTACTTGAAGACCACTGCAATCACAAGTATGTTGGCCGTCACTGCGATCGCTATCACCGGCACGTAGAGGATGATCAGCAGATAGTTAGTGTCCCCGTTGAACTTGTCGTAGAAGTTCCACAAAATCTCGCTGAGATCCATCTCCATGCTCTCGTTGTAGGAAATGGACGAGAATGATCCGTTGTCATAGGTGAACTCGATTTTCGGCGAGGTCGCGATCATCGTCGACGCGGTTGTCGGCGAGGTACCGATTGCATTCATCCTCATTGTCGTGGAATCCACTGTCTCTGAACGATCTGTCCAGATCAAGAAAGAGATTCGCCAACCTCGGTTTGCGTATTTCACCGCTCAGCTACGTAAGCGGAAGGAACTTCCGTGGAGCATACAAAATGTATTCCGTTTTGGGACCACGTTTTAAATCAACAACGAAAACTCAACCGAAGTAGCACTGGTGCGGCCGACTATATGAGCAGCGTTCCAGAAGAAGTTGGAGAAAAAGTAACGGAAGAAGTCATGCATGAAACTTCCGTTACTCAGTTACTCCGGCTCTTCTTATTTGATGTAACTCAATTGTGTGGAAAAACGCGTCGGTGTGCACTCGAGCGACTTTTATCAGTGCTTGAAGCAGGAATAAGTTTCACGTGTTCAATTTTTTATGCCATATCAAGAAACAGGGGAGAGAGAGAGGGAAAGTGTGTCTCGCTATTGAATTAACCGACCGTCGTCGGAAGTGAAGTTCATGTAGAAGTGCGAAAATACGAACTCGTATATATTGCATCAGTCTCGTGAATTCTTCCACGTTAGATCATTAAGTCGTTGTTTGCTTTTTGTTATGTCGATACTGCTTCGTTAGACGAAAGCCGGGCAATCGTGTACGAAGGTGCGCGCAAGTACGGATGAGATTACAAAGCTATCGCTTGGATCTCGCGGTTAGCCGCGAGTTATAATTAGTGGATAATAAACATGTCTCGTCTTTCTCCTGTTAGTCCTCGACGAGATAAAGAGATGTTTTCGTGTCCAATTAAGGGTCCAATTAAGCTGCACTGATACCATAACGCACAAATGGCTAGCAGCGTTACAGGAAAGGTCGGTCTCGCGCGGAATATGTCGGATGTGAACTATGCGGGCGCGTATGTACACACACACACACACACACACACACATATCGCGATTTCAGTTACACGCATATATCTGTGCGAAGTGAAACGAGAAGTAAGGAAGTAGGGAAGACGGAAATAACGACGGGAAACAGAATGAGATGAACCTTATGTGCAATCGAAATCGAATTCCCGGCGAATCTGATTTTTTTTATCACTCTCTCCTATTAAAAGCGATGGCGCGTCAAGACGGCGCGACCGACGTCTCTCAAGTCTCGAGATAAATCTTCAAATGGATTCTTTCGAAATAGATCTCGTAGTGATCACGCATCGTGCAATTGATTCCGGCGACGCTATTATGAGCTGAGCGTTGTCGATATAATAGGATAGCATGAATACGATCGAGATTAAATCACTCCGCCGTATATGGCTGTATGACTTGTAAACGCGTGACACGCATACCTCACGCGTCAACGTCACTATCAGTTGAAAGCCATCAGCCATCTGAAAGACGTTAATAAGATTATAAAGAGATACCCGAGCACGTTACAAATATCAAACGGACATGAATTTTTTTCGGCTAGCAGTAACAATATTTCAAGCATCAATGATCGTGCTGTCATTTCCAAATCATTGCGCAAGTCAGTGCGCTTGAAAGAGGCGGGGAACCACCCTTTTAGGATCGCCCATTTTCCTTGACTTAATCGCGGATTAATGCACGAGACAGAAGGTGTACTCGTCGAAGATCGACGTTTATTTATCGCTCACGCGCTAGCTTTAAAGCTGCCTATCGTGCGCGCATTTAGTTCAGTCTTTGTTCGGTCTTTTGATGACATAACAGACCTTGTAGCATTAAAACAATTTAGAAACATAGAAATTAATTATACATTAGTAATTTGACAAGGATTTGATTAGAAGTTAGAGAAAGATTATTGAGAAAAATTTCATTGAAAATATATCATCGATATTTGCACATGTGCAAATGAATATTAATCATCAGTTATATACTTTATTTTTACTGATTCCCTATGAAAAGATTTTCTCATTTCAAAACACACACTACGGACTGTTTGAAATAACAATGTGAATAATTACTGAGTAAAGTAAATAAAGTAAAATAAATGGAGATATCTTATCAAAAGAATGCATCCGATAGAATATCAATGCGGAATATTCGTGTTTTATTACATGTTTTATATATAACACACTCGCTCCTTTTCTCCCTGTCTCTCTTCGACACTATGCGATATTTTTAGAGATATTGAAAGTCGGTACAATGTGATAAGTTACATCACCGTAAACCTCGTTTCTTTATCTCAATGTAATCCGGGTTTGCGAAATAAAAAATAATAATGGCCGCGATAAATCCAGATTAATATTTTCGCACAGGGACTGGAAGCCTTGTCGATTATTATCGATGATACGCCGTCGAAACTGTTCACACTGCCGTGATAATCAGCTAATAAATACTGCACACTGCGCTAATTAATGCAAACTCGCTGATTGAAATCGTTTTGATCTCGGCGAGATCTTTCGATGCTACAACGCGCACGACAGTTGTCGCGTTTCCACCGTTCGGGAAACGAAATACAATGCAAAGCAAAATACAACAAGGAAAAATCAAATTCCGCATGTCCGCGGTGATCAAAGTCCGAACTCACTGATATTACTCCGCTTTCGAATCCTTGCGTCGCCGACGACACAAAAACAATCGAATCACTGGTGCAATCGAACGAAATAAATTTTCGCCATAGCAGCTGCCAATCACAGTCCGTCGAGTCGCATCCCCCAGCGTAACGTAGAGAATACCCGTTACGGCATCACGGTATCGCATCGGCGTCGATTTTCACAATCACCCATGAACCTTCACTGCTCACATGTTCGTAACTTTTTCATTGATCGGTTCGCGGTGTGCATACTCGAGGAGCGATCGGATGCGATTTACCCGCGGCAGACCGAGAGGAAGAGGCGCGCGCGCGGATCGCTTGCGGCCGAAAAGTTGCGGATGCGGGTCTACGGCGAACTGATGAGAAGAATCGCAGCTCCCGCCGCCGGTCTTAAAGGCAACGTGAACCCCTCTCGCACACACGTTGACGGATCGCAGCGCGCGCTTGCGTCCTGCATCCCCTAGTTCGGGTACCTCCGCACACCGTCGCGCACCACCGCGCACCAAATGGGAAATCGCGCGTCAGGTTTCAGCGAACGACGCCGAAACGGCTATCGTCGCCGCACTGCAAACGCTTCCGAAACCTAGCATCAGCGGTTTCATAATCAAATATCAAAATGACAGAAAATTTAATTGAATTCAATGTATCCAGTTGTCAAGTAATTACGAGCGAATTCGTTACGAATCAAGATGAATATCAAGATGTTTGCAACACTTTTAACTTTGTATTTTGATTATTTTGATTATTTTGATTATTTAAAGTATATGTATACAAAAATTTAGATTTTTGTCATTAGTTTTTAATCATTTTTTCTTTTACTGGAGATAACAAAACATATATTTTTACAACAACACGTTTTAAAATACTTTTAGGTAGCAGAATGATGTCAAATAACATATTAATGACGTATTATTGACGTTAGAGCTTGAATTAAAATTGTGATTCTACTTTCAGCCTTACTATTCCGTACAATGCCTATTTTGATACTTTGGAACTTACACATACACACCGATCAAGTTCTTTTAATTCTATTTAACCTACCCGACATTTTTTTCCTATTTTCAACCTCACTATTCCACTCAATCATTTTGAAGCTTATAGTACAATTTTGATGCTAAAGAAAGGATATCATCAGAGACAAAGTAAGAGTAAATTGTGTCATTAGAATTAAATTTATTTTACTAACTTAGCTTCTACTGCGTTGTAGAATTCAAGATTTAACATGTGGCCAAACGTCACATTAAAACGTCATTAAAACATCATTTGACGTTATATTTACTGGATTTCAAAGTCGAATAACTTTTGATCCAGATTCTAAACCTATTTCAAGTTGCTTATGATTACTTTTTTAGGTGGAATATAAATTAATATCTATTTTTACAAAATTTGTTTATTATTTTTTAGATATGGGCAATACAGCCCCTTAAAAATATTGTGCTGAAAATATTTTCTTTTGGTCCTAGAAGAATCCTCTCTTGAGAGAATATAAGAGTATATATAAGAGTAAAGTCCTGTAGAATTCAGAGGATAATAAGATTATATATATATATATATATATATATATATATATATATATATATATATATATATATATGTGGTATCCGAAAATGTACAAAGTTGTAGAGTGTGCGAGCGTGTTCGTCGAGCGTGTTTAGATTTGCAGAGCGTGTTAAATTCCAGGAAATTGATTGAGACGAGCTCGTGAACAAGAGATCGAACTGATAGACACAAAGATGAAACGCAATTAGCCAACTTCTGACGCCTAAGAAAATTCGGCCAATAGGGACGCTACCCCCTAAATAGAATATAAGACGCAAGCGAAGCGCGAAACAGTAGTAGTTCTTCTTGAGTTCTCAGAAGTTCTTCAGCAGCATTAAAATAGCTTTCTGTAGCATTCCTCATTCTCTACGCTGTGTATCAATCTATTCTATTTGTGGTCTATTTCAAATATACTATCTAGTTTTATATACCACAATATTTTTAGTGAAAAATTTTAGTCAAAATGGAATTCACAGCCTCGATAAACTGTTTTCTCTATCCAATTAATATCACCGATTAAGAGTTTTGTCCAGGACTTTCTCAATTACAAATTTTGCGCGAAATACAAGTACATATAATATTCAGTGACCGCGTGAAAAAACTTAATGGTCGGTTTGCACGCAGTTTATGAAGTTAAAATAAATTTGAAAGAAAAAAAGAGACAGAGAGAGGCAGTATTTTCACAAAAGTAATACAATACACAATTCGATGGCGAAAAATTTTCAACAGAGAACTAACAGTAGGAAAATTACAGGCTCAGCGGGGCTTCCGAATAGGTCTGCGCGTCAGAGGATATGAAAGGGTGGAATATATTGTAGGCTGCAGCCAAATATTGTTACCTGTTACCGAAAGAAGCGTGGTGTTCTGCAGAACTAATATCCGACCGATCCGTTTGTTTTCTAATTAGGCATCCGCGCATTAGCGAAAAGCAAAGAATTCGGGATTATTAAACGTTAATTTGGAATGTGAGCCACTTAGATCTTCCGTTTTCAGTCTATTTACTCACGTTTCAGGACTAACCTCGCTGATGTATATTTCGCCAACGGCGCCTCGGTTCTACGATATTGAAATTTATAATCCTGCTTCATAGAAGTATCACACGAATGACACACCGCGGAATTTGTCGAAATGGAATTTGGCGAATTGAATATTTGAACGCGCCGCCGAGCGTGTAGTGTATCCGCGTCGGACATGACTGTAATCGGAGATGACGGTCGAAACTTTCCACCCGGACTTCCCCATTCAACGTGCGCCGGTATTACTCCGGCTGTCAGTGAGATTGATCGCCGAGGGTGCGAATCCTTCCTTTCTTCCTTCCTTGACTCAAATAAATCGAATGTCTCTTCCAATCCTCCTACTCCTAACGACATCTACGCCTTTCATCGTGTGTTCGCGAAGAGCAAAGAATATATGCAAATATTCCACCTTATCTCCCGCCGAGTACGTTCTCACATTGTCGTTCCAGTTTTAGGGGAGCTTCGTGTTTCCAAGAATTTTCGCAGCACAGGGAGATATATTCTCCTCGTGTCTCACAATTATCCACTTTGCAAACTTAAGTACGCTGAGCTCGGCGACCAAGGAAGAGGGGTTCAGGATTTTGCTAGGAACGTGATAGGATCTTGCGCGATTATCGCCATTATTCGAAGCAAATCACTAACTATGACCCTCAAAGGAGCAACAACGTTAACGTTTTCCTCTTTCTTTTTTACTCAGCATCCACTCTCGTTCGTTCCCGATCGAGAGTCACTATGATGTGCTCGAGGCTCGTGTTCCTGTACAGTATGTCCTCGTGAAAGGCCGAATTTCATGCGTATTTTGTTACAGGCAGACGCTCGTTCCTTCCGGCGTATCTGCAGCGTTTGATGTCAAAGATTAATCGGAACGAGACGAAAGCGTAACCTCCACACATATGTAGCTCTTTACCTTCTGCGCGATCGACGCGATGGATACCTTTTTCCCCATCCGACGCGTGTTGATTCACAAAGCCGCAAGGAAAGATAGGGACGGAATTAGCGAATCGATCGATCAAACGAACGATCGGTCGCTGAGGCGCAGCGGTGCGTCATTCACGGAAATTATGTTAGCTGTTGGCGGTGTGAAGAATCACTAAGTATGTAGTGATGCCAGAAGCTATCTGCGAAGAAAAAAGCGCAAAGAAATAAAGTTACAAAAACTAACGCGTCTCCGACATGCAGATTTATACTTTTAAAAATACAATATTCTTCATTTTCTTTTAACGTTTTGGACATAATAAACTTTGGGCAAATATTATTTAGCAGTTTATCATAATATGTATCATCTAATGGAAAAATTTAATGAGATATTATTCTCTTTGTATGTAGTTCACTCAACTTGATAAAAAAATTGAGTTAAACTTCTTACTCGTTACTACATTTAACAACTTATTTGGTTACTTTGTTATTTGGTTATTTAGTTACTTAGTTATTTGGTTACATGTTATTTGATTATTTGGTTACTTTGATTACTTATTTGGTTATTTTGTAAGATAATCAAATAAACATCATAATCAATTTTACTGAACACTTAACTCGTTTGACACAGACAAGAGATTGTAAAAATATCATAATTATGCTGAAAGAATTAAAACAATTAGTTCGCCATGTATAACCCAGACATCGAGTTCGCTCAATTCAATTCTAATTGTTCCGATTGGTCTTTCTTTATAGTGTATTTTTTTTTTAACATGAAAGGAATCAAGCTAAACAAAGATCAAATGTCTGTAGTATAGACCATTCTTTTTCCAATATAATTTTCCCAGTCATTCCTGAAGCGCTCAGTCTATGTACATAAGTCTATGCTCCGAATTGATGTTTGAGATGATTTTATGCACTATTGATACTGTTTCCAGCGCAAATCGATCTACCGGAACTTATTATCAGGAAGCGCATCAGGAAGATTTCGCGAATGGAAATTTGCCGTGATACCGTAATTAATGAAATCAAGATAATAGCGTTGTTTGAATATACGATAAGATAACAAAGATAATTATGAAGTAAGTACGTCGGAAGCACAGATAATTACTTAAGTACTGATAACAAGTTCCGGTATTTTGGAGATTGTTCGCATGAATAATAGATCTCGTTTCAAAGAGAAGGCGACGCGCGTGTCTTCTGTCAAGATTTAAATAATATAGATTGCTCTCGAGGCACTCTCTGGCATTTTCGTAACATTAGCATTTCCTATCTTTACTGCGCCATATAAAAAGCTCCGGTATTTTGGCGGGAAGATCGATTCATGCCATTCTTTCTGGGACTCACCGAAAGGAGCAAAGGAAGATCGATGCGTATAAGCCCGAAAACAGCAAAAAAATTCACTTGATACAGCTGAAAGTACGTTGCAGCGTCCACGCTGCAATCCTGTAACTATTTAAAGATCGCTTAATATATTCATTAATACAAGAAAGAGATGTATTAAGAAAAAAAATGCATTTAACACTGTTATTCTCTCGAAAATTTAAATTTTGTACCAAGACTGTCGCGGTGACTCTCCTTTTTTGCATTGCGTGATTGGAGATATCTGCAAGTCTATCAAAATATTCTTCGTAAAAAAAAGAATCAGCTGGCTAGAATAAACTCATAAAAAAGATAGCTTCAATTCTTCGTGTATTATTTTAAATCCTTTTAATTCGATAATTATTCAAAGACATAATGAGATATAAATGAGGGAGTCTATAAATATTTTCGTAGCTCAGTGCAAAAACGAGTAGGTATGTTTCCGCGTGACACTTCTCGCCGATTAGAATCGCACAGTCGGGAGAGACGGAAACAGCAAAGAAGTACACTCGATGTAATTAACCCTTCGACAGCAGTGACATTTGATTACGCGATAACGAGATAGGGGCATCAACATACAAAAGGCGGCGCAACAGTGTTACCGCAGTTAATTATGTCTATCGGCTCTGTCCACTTAACCGATTAAATATTTAAGAAGAAGAAAAAAAATAGAATCGGTAGTATCACCAGCGAGAACGTCAGCGATAGTTGTTGATTCAACTTATTAATTTCAATTTAATCAAGTAGGGTGGTTTAATCGATCGATAAATAAATTATTAGTCGCACAGTTTTCCAGATTTTGTAATTAATCGTTTAGTAGCTTAACACTACTGTAAACTTCGCTGTGAAAGATACACACCTCGCGTCGTGTGTATCTTTCATTTTTCGATAACTTAAAATATTAATTAAATCAACGTAACGGCGCCAAGTTGAAATAAATGAGAAAGAGAGAATGTGAGAGAAAGAAAGGAGAAGGGAGATATTGAAATTAAAATAAAACGAATGCGTAAAACTGATGCGAAGCTAACTACTTTCTACTTTAAGTTAGATCCCAATATTTACTGCTACTGTTGAGAACCTAAGATGCACGTCATGTATACTATAGATTTTCTATAGTATATAGAACTATAGATTTTCAGTATTAACAGTGAATATCGGAATGTAGCTTTTACCTGCGCGCTACTGCGTTTCGCGACAATAGCTGATGACGGCGAGAAGGTGATCTTTCCAACGCGATTAGCCTTTGAGACAAAAATGAGAATGATCATTCACGTGGTCGGGACGAATTCCGCGGGATGATGCATCAACCACTACCTGCGCCGAGATCGAGTGACAGACAGTAGTGATGAGCAGAAGATTCGTCGCACAAGCGGACACCATCATCATCTCCCTCGTAATTAAAAAAGTTGACAACCCGTGGTGTTCGTTCATTGTGTAGAGACGCGTCAGGGTGTTAAAGGATCCACCAGCGATCCATAGCAGAAGCTGTAGTGCATACACTGAATTTATCAGCTCTGTGGCGTTGACGAGACACGAGTGCAGCCACCATACCTCCTGCAAGCGCAGCTGCCTGGCCGATCGATCCACGACCATAATTTTGCCATCTACTTTAAACATGCAGCATCGTATAAGAGAATTTATTTTCAGATTACATTGACCAACACTAAATCTGCTTTAAGATTTAATAAATTATTTCTTACGGATTTTTAGCTATTAAACATGAATCTAGACGCAAAATATCTATATTACGTCAGAATTTTGAAAAACCTGTCATAAAAGGTTAGGTTAAATTAAGCATCTTTTATAGTTGATTTTTCGAAATCTTGACATTACAGAGACATTTTGCATCCATTTGTATTCAACAATCAAAAATTTATAAAAAATGACTTATCAAGTCTTAAGGCAAATAAAAAGATCATTTTTTGTTGTTCCGTGTTATCTTTTAATTATTGGTGAGAATGATCGCTCTTCTTGAGACTAAAAAAAGCGTGATAGTAGTTCATAAAACTGGGTATGAGAATTATTAACTTCAGAGCGGCGATCGTGTAACTTTTTTTTCGGAACGAAAATGTAGTAGAAAATAAAAAGTGCATGGTGTATAAAATGCATTGATTCTTTTAAAATTTCATTTAAAATTTAATTTTATATTTGTATAAAACCTAAAACCTGTGTAAAACCTAAAAATCTCTACAATGTTTCAGTTAATATTTTACTATTGATTTAATTTTATAGTCTAAATTCCTACAACGGATCGTTAATCGGATTAGATTCGCATTCAATAGTGATAATTGATTCAATAGCGATGTATGCAATAAAATTTTCGTAACTATGAGAAATAGTTCATTTTATTTAATTTTTTTTTCAGTACAATAATGTGATCGCGTTACAGTTGAATTACGTGTTAGAAGCTCGTCTGTGTTAAAAGCACAAATGGAGCTAACGATCCAATACGTTTGTTTAACAAGGAATATATCTTCTAAATTGGCTTACCGAAAAATCTAGTTATTCAACTAAATATGATAGATCAAAGCCAGTTATTTAGTAGCCACGATCCTTTCAGCTATCCTGCCTTCACCGGACAAGCAGCATGGCAAAGGGCGCGTGTATGCGGGATTGAGAGTAAATGTCAGTGATAACAGGCGGGCGAATGTTCGCACAAAGAGAGGTACAAGATAACCTCGAAGCGAGAGCGATTGAAGGATTTGCTTTTGACAGAGCAGTAATTCTACTCACGAACGACAGGTACGAAAAATTGATGTAAAGAAATTCATATTTTAAGTAAATCTTTTAGATTTTGTAATTTCTTAAATAATGACGAGAATGCAGATGAACGACATCCAAGAAAATGTTTATCAATAAATCAGTAATTATTAATAAATCAGCCATTGACGCACGAACTCCGCTGCAAGGCACAAGAAGCGTGTCGCTTTTTGCGATTGACTCACCTTCGGGCAGCAGCAATATTTCACAAAGCCGATGAAATCTCTCACGTAAAAGGAATGACAGGCTAATAAATCTCAATAGTTGCATCGACAGCGTTGTGTTGATAACGGCATAAGTTACGCCATTGAATAATGTGTCTTTGGGTTCACAACTATAATAAACAAAGTTTTTAAATTACAGTGGAGTCATCTTTACCAATCTAACACCACTTAATAAAAAAATATCGAAATAGAAGTTTCGCTGTTCTCGCGGCGATAATTTTCTGTGCCGAACGAGATGCAACGCCGGAATCATTTAGCGCTGAGTGTGCGAGTGCAGAAGCCCTCTCGACTTGCGTGTGATTTAGGAGTGTAGTCAATCTTCAATTAATTTACTTGTATTCTTGGCAATACCTTCATTGTCACGTCACAATTTGATAGCAAGTGAGATATTTCGTGGATCGCCGGTTGATCGATCAGAGTCCGGTTAAGAGCAGCGAACAGAGTAGTAAAAAGTTGAGAGAGAACTGCGACTCATTTAATCGTCGTTTCGATGGTCGGTCTAATTTGTACGTTTAGATTAAGCGATTTGACACGCGACGATTGGTTGCTTTTTAACCGGGCGATTGATATTCGCGAGGTTTTTATAATTTTAGCGATTGATATTCGCGAGGTTTTTATAATTTTAGCGTTTTATTTAAAATTCCGCTTCGAAATCGGTGGAATTTTTTATGTTGCGAATTAAAACATTTGGTCTGCGGGTGTAGAAAACGAAAATAAATCGAAATTTTAACATAATCCTTAATTTAAAGATATTTCACAAAGCAATTTTAATATTAGAAGGAATAAGTGAGACAAAACGTTATATATTACACATCGAGAAATCACCTTCACGTGATGCTAGCAAGTGCTGTGTTGACTGTTTAGTCTGCCGCACGACATTCGTGAGAGAAACGGGATAGGGGTGTTATGTTTCCCCCTTGCGTAAATGACCGAAAGAAACTTTAGGTTAGGAACGTATCTTCTTCTGTCCAATGGAAAAATTTTTTCTAATAGGAGAATTCTCCCACTGAACAAGACGTTTCAAAACACACAAAAAGAACGGGCAACTTTTCTGTTTACAATTGTACACACTGTACATGAACTCGTGATAAACTAGTTTTTTTGTAGATTACGTTAGAGGTCAAGCAACTAATAATTCCACTGCTGTCCGATTAGCTGCGATACTTAACAAGTTACAAACCATGATACTTCTTATAATAATCTTTATAATTTAAATGTGTGTGTGCAATTAAGTTTATTTCTCCGTTATTACAGGAGCAATACTTAAACTGAAAACTTTTTCTTTGTAGTATGTAAGGAAGATATTAGAAAAATTTATTACCCTCCAGCCTTGGCCTCGTATACAAAGTTTCGAGGCATTTCTCTCGAAAGTTTCGAGAGTAAATACAGATGTAAGAAATAATAGAAAAGAAGCAAATAATGGGAAAGAATGCTTTGTCACGTTAGCAGTAAGAACGTAATAAAAGGTAGAAAATCTGTTTTAAGTAGCAATTCCCGAAGAACTATTTAAGCATGACAGATATTACGCACTAATCGTTAAAAGGGGATTACATTTAAATGTGTGTTTTTACAATCGCATAAAATCGTGCAATTTATCGTTAACTATTATTTCCTCCACGGAGAGAATTTAATTGCTACAACCACATTCTTTATGGTTAAAACAAATTCGTGCGAATTTAAGTTAAATAAATATTGCATTAAAAATTGCTGTTGTTATATGCCCAACTGTACAGTTCTCATAGCTAAAGTTCTTATGATATGTATGTTCAATTAGTATATATATAATTGCCTTAATTAAAAGAATATTCCTATCTATAATATTATGGTCTGCAGAAAAATAACATCATTATCTTTTACAGTAACTATATTTTTACGGTAAACATATAGTAACCAAATGATATCTCTATATAAGAAGTTTAATTAGATGAACTATTTTTAGTGAAACATAAAAGATTCGGAAATTTCAGTTGAAATGATCAGAATTCAGTTTAAATTATCAAGATTTCAAGCAAATTTCAACAGAAATCTGATAATTTGAATCGGAATTTTTTTGGTCGTTCATATTTCATTAGAAATTGATTTATTCAACTTTTTTCACTGTCATTCTAAAAGCTCATCTAAAAAGCGTCAATACTCACAGAAACGTCAAGTATCCAGCTATCGACCAAAACACCATAATAACGAACGGTAAAATCCAGCTGATATAATGGATCTTGTAAGACTTTACTTGCTCCTTGTACTTTGTGGCTCGATCGAAGATGCGTAACTGCGTGAGAGCGGCTCTTATTTTCCAGCTGTACCAGAAGGTCAACACGATGTCGGTCAAAACGCTAATGTATGTGAGGCCCGTTCTCGCAATGGTAAGCGCCAACAGCCGCCGTCCTAACACATCCTCCTTTGCAAGTACGCAAAAATTCATCACGCAAATAGCCGTATATAATAACACGAAGAAGGTCGTATAAACGACACTGTATTTTATCGTTTTGATATCGTCCTCACTGACGATGTAGAATCCACATCCGAAAAATCTCGCGATATGCAATAGCGGTCGTATGTCACTCAAAGTCGCCATCGTACCATTGATCCCGACGGTTCATACGAAATAAATAGAAAACAGAGAACGTTTGCTTTTCTACAGGTAAAAGAAAAAAAAGTTTATAACGAAGAAACGGAACACATAGCGAAACTGACGACGATAATATGCTTCGAGGAAACTAGCGGAATACGACACAGTATCAGTCGGCTATTCTCATTTAAATGCCTCTTCTTTAGTATATTATCCTTTCTTTTCTTTAGTATAGGTCTTTATTTCGCTTTTAATGAGATTCTTGAAGTACGCTTGGGAGAGACACGAAGCTCTGTGAAACTGGGTTGGAGAAATCACGTCTACATAAGGACTCTGGAGTACACGCTTTAAACAATGTAAAGATCTGACGAGCGTATGTACGTTGTAACAATGTAAAGATTCATAAGGCAGGATATCTTACGTATTTTTCCATTTAAAAATGAGATATCAATTGAGATACAAAAACGCCACTTTCATTCCCTCCGTAGTAAAATATAGATATTTTGAATATGTGATGTTTTATATATATATATATGCTTGTGTGCTGAGAAGCGCGTAATATTTACACAGTAAATATAAATTCAAAACGCGAGCGAAATCCGCGCGGTCCACAAAATTAAACTATCTTCGCAAAAAACTTTATGAAAAAAGAAAAAAGAATCAATTGTTTTCGCTACTCTCTTTCCTTCACTAAAACAAGTGACGAGCCGAACGAGACGAACGTTTCACTCGAACATGAAACAATCCTCATGCTGATAACACTCACGTCGCGATAAAAAGTGGCCCGTCCTAAATTACAGCACTTCAGTACCGAAACTCGACCTAAGTGACGTCCGATCCGTCAAACGAAGGGTCTAAATCGCCGAATAATTGCGAATCATGGAAGAGACTACTCTAACTACCGTGAGTGCTGACGATTATATGCGGCATCGCGTCCACCGTCGACACGACCGTCCTACTGTCGGACCGCAAACTAAGTTCTTCCACTTAGTGCGGCTTTAACGGCGATGTCGGTAAGATAAATGAAGAATGTGTACGTGTGTACATGTGTGTGTTTGGCGCATGACACTTCCGGTATGTCACGTACCGATATCAATCCACCGGTGACGCAGTGTAAATATTAACGTAACGGGCGCGTTAGAAAAAGAGAGCAATTAACATCGGGCTGGACGTCCCGGGTGCGTCCCGTACTCAAAAATTGACGGCGTAGCAAAATAACGTTCCAGTCATCGCAGTTGACCGCTTTCCATTGCGGTGATACGACGTCTTCTTTCCCTGCGTGACTGGCGGGAAAGTCCATCTGCGGGAAAAACACAATGAAAAACTAATCGACACAATCGCGTAGAATTGACGAGTGCGAGTGTCAAGTGTCGACACGTTCTCCCGGTCTTGGCGGCACAATTAGATGCTAACTGCTTTGAGATTAACGATCCGCATAGGATAATGATAAAAAAGGAGGAAAAGAAGATTACATCAGTTTATACACATTGTTGAGGGGTACGGGGATACGCGAATAGCGACAATGTAATAACAATACGTCGAGTCACGAGTAAACCATCATCATACACCATTAATTCTCTCCTAAAAAAATGTAGAATTAAAAAAATTACATGATACAGAGTAAGTCAATAAAAGCCACCACAAACCTCGGTACAAAATTTAAATTTAAATTTATGAGAGGATAATAATCATTTAAAAATATTATCTTATTTTTAGCGAAATCTTATATTGTAAGTACAATATTCTTAGAGTTAGAGAAATTTTGTTTTTTATTTATGGTACACAAGTCTTGTTCTTAATAGAAATTTATTTTAGTGAGAGATATGTTCTGCTTCAAATAAACATTCATCTTGACTCAAAAAAAAAAGTTAAAATAATGTCTGACAGATTTTCTAGTAAATTTGTTTAAAAGAGGAATATTCTTTCAGCAAGAATTTTTGGATATCTGAGAGATATTTTGAATATCCTATTAAAAATATTTCATTCAAAGTTAGCTTTAGGTTTTAAAAGGACAGTAGACATTTTTCTTTAATTTTTATTACTTCTATCATATAATGGTATTCTGTATCGACGTGAATGTGTCTTTGTACGCGAAAAAAGTAGTTTAGAATATTAATAATACTAGTACTAAAAAAAACAAAATTTAGGGGATTAATAAATGGCAATTTCATAAGGAGAGTTTCTGTATGTAAAAGCTATGCACATTACATTGTAACTTAATATCGAGGTGTGTGGAACGCGGGACGGGCCCCTCAAAAGGACATCGTGACATCGAACAAACAGAATGTCACTTAACTTCTCCACCTGTGATATATGGCATAGATAAACAGTGGGCGTAGCGTGGGTCATTAGTTTCTGAGAACTAATGAAAATACTTTACTTGTATAAAACACTCTAGAGAGTTGTTCAATACTCGTTAAAAAGTTTTTTCGCTACAGGTTCTCCACCTAATATAAAATTGATTTTTTTCCGAAGTAAAAACGTTTTGTTTCCATTTATTTAATATTGACATCCCGTAGTTTAGCAATATTTTATACAAAATGCATAATCGCAGAGAAACGTACAAATCTGAGGCAATAAAGAAAGACGAAATATAAAAAGCAGAAGGCAAATATACATAAAACTATGCATTGATTTTTTTACCTTTACGAGAAGAAGATGTGACACTATCTTTCTTACTAATGATTAGCAAAGTAGGTCTTCAAAGTAATAAAATCCTACATTACGATATATCAAAGATACTGGTGGATAAATCTATATGTAAATTTTAAACGACCTCATTTTTCAGTCGCTCGCGCGATAACGATCCATGCCCTATTCTACATACTTAAACAGCAAATATGCAGGATAGGAAAAAATATACACTCGTCGTCATTGAAATATTATATTATCGCAAAAATATGTAAACTTTCACATATACACTGGAAATTCTGAAATTACGTTGTTTGCAGAAATAAAAATAATAATCAAGTTAATCGTTATCATGAGTTATATCGGTAGTATGAATTTTTGGTTACGCATGTCTATTAACAATATTTTAATATACAAGAAATTAGATTTCATAGTGGATATTAACATCACTGTCTATTTTAATTCTGTTCTGCAAAGGTATCATGTTTCAACAATAACCATTCTGGCTTCAACAGGAATGATCTAAAATCAGTATTAATATATTTATTTTATTCATTAGGATTATAGTTATCAGTTCACAGAGGCTTACCGCAAATTTCAAAACCATTATTTATTTATTTATTTTACAAGCTCGAGTTTTTAGTGGAAAAATTGAATTTGATTTTCTATAACTCCCATTTTGCAAAATATTGAATTTTTCAAAATCTGCTATGGACAGATGACCCTAATAAATAAAAAAAAATATATATATATAATAGTATATAAATAGTATATAAATAATATATAATAGTACTAATTCAGATCATTCTTGTTGAGGCTAGAATGGTTACCGTTAAAACATAATTCTTTTACAGAACAAAATTGAAATAGACACAGTGATGTTAATATTCCATTATAAAATGCCATAAAATCTAATTTTTTGTACTAAAATATATTGTTATAAAATACATACAAAAAGTTCATACTTCTATTAATTTACAACTTTTTTATAATTCTCCAATCTAAATATTACTCCTACAATGATCCTATAATCTTTTAATAAATACTATAACTATATATATTTGTTTGATAAAAAGAATTCTGGCCGAACTGTTATTATTAGCTGTAATAGCTAGAAAGTTTTGTGATTATTTTTAAACTGTTAAAGAATATATCGGTCGTATTCGGAAACGTATTTTTCAATCATGAATATTTCGTATCGGAAGTTTAAGCCACCAACAAGGTTATCGTAAGTACGAGATTTCGCTGAAAGGTAAGTCAATAATGTGTTTAGTGTGTGCGTGCTATCGTGATGATCGTATGCCTGATGATTAGTAATCAACATGCTCAATTATTACTCCCGTGTCGCACACATCGTGATTCAGAATCCCGTAATTTAACGAAATGTTAATGTAGCAATACGACATGAAAATAGGAAAAATTTTGGAATTTTATGCAAATTATTTCTCTGCGAATCTCAAGATACTTTCTTTTAGCGTATGGATAAAGTTTTCTTTAGGTTGAGCTTAGGTAGGCTAAGCTTTGTAAGAATAATACGGAAAGATACGAAAAGGTATGTATAGAATGTTCCAGGCTTCTTGAGAAATCTTTCGGTGGATTCCCGAGATAATTCAGAGTTAACTTTCTTTCAACAGGAGTTTGGGGCAGAGAGAGAGAGAGAGAGAGAGAGAGAGAGAGAGAGAGAGAGAGAGAGAGAGAGAGAGAGAG